GCCGGCGGGGGGGGGGAGAAGGCGCCCGAGGAGCCTGCCGCGAGCGGGGCTCTCAACTTATCCAACCGAAAACTGAAAGAGTTTCCGCGAAGCGCCAGGAACTATGACCTGTCCGACATTACACATGCAGGTCAGTGTGCTTTTCGGTGCTTTCTTTAACTTACTACAAAGCAGGAAAGTACCAGCGAGCTGTTATTTTCAGAACCGCCTTTTGTTTTATCGCCACCTGCTTCTTTCTTCTAAGGCGGAAGGCACATCCTTTCTGGTCCCCGACAGGTTTCACAAGCCTTTCTTTCAAATAACTCCGCGGTTGTATTCTGTGCTGTTGACTGTCATAACTGTAGAAATAACTGTAGACAATGACGTCTTTCATATCACCACCTACCTACCTTTTGTATAAATAATAATAATTTTGTAAAACTGGTCCTTATTTCATCAAACTGAGCGTGAGCCCAGTGCTGCCTAGCATTAAGTGTGTACCAGTTTAAGAATTTGGCTGACAGACCTATGTTTTTTAAAATAAATACCTCTGCTTGGTGGATTAAGTTAAATTAAATTACACTGTTTTCACTGTGTATGAAACCTCAGCTTGCTAAAACGAGCCTGGTGCGTTGTTCTGTGGGTTTCAGAGGAAAAGACACCAGTTCCTCTTCAACACGTCCATCTCTAAGCAAACGAAACAATTCTACATTGCCAGTTTCCTTAAAAACCTACCTTTGAGCACTCCTTTCACTAGGTTTTGTGTTGTTTATAGCTCCACGTTGTTGGCTTTAACAGTGGTTTTTGTAGTTGTATTACTTTGTGTTTTGAGTTATGAGCCCACCATGTAAAAACATGACCAGCTTTACCCAGAAGCCTCTTGGGCTCTCTCTGAATGGGTGTCACTTCGTCTTGTTAAGATTAAGTTGCACAGGACCTTGTAGAAGGCTACTGATGACAAGAAGTTCAAAAACTTAATAGAGAAGTAGTTTTGGATTAAAAGGAACTACCATGGCTTCACCTTGCTGTGAATTGGATTACCCCATCCAGCTTGTTGACCACACAGTCTGATGACACAGCGGTTTATAGCAACACCAGGCTCTGCTGCTGCTGCTTTCTTGTCATAACAACCCAGGTCTAGGCCTTGTGTGATGAGAAAGCCTGAAATGGGCATAAACATACACCTGCCACTGGAGCAGCCCAACCCTATGATGCATTTATCCAAAGGAAGATGTTGGATAAACAAATAATGCAGCTAGGAAAGTAAGTAAAAGATACAGCCAAAGTGTCTTAAAGTTAGGTTTAAAGGGGAACTCCTCTAGGCAACGAACACTTTGTTCAGTGTCTGTGGCTTTGTCAAATCTGCTTGACCAAATGCTGTAGCTTGGTTTTGGGGAGTGAAAATATTTAAGAGGAAACTATGTTTAGTCAGTATTTGTTTGTAGCGGCCTTTAGCAAACACTATTCCCCTAAAACCTTCACTGTTTGTGAGAAAAATGATTGTTCTTCAATCCTCACTCAACCTGGAAGCATTCTGGTCTGTCATCTTGAAGGATGTCTCATTCCTGCGTTGAGGATTGAGGATCAAGGAGTTGAGGAGGTCGTCTGGAAGAGCCATGAGCAAGGATACACAGGACCATTCTTCACAGAAGTCTTTTATGAACCAACACACCTTAGAAATCAGTTGGTGATTGGGCACGTCATATGAAGGATCAGAGGAAAGGATGTCTCATGCCTCTAAAACCCCTTTCAGACATGCACTGGAACCCTGAAGTGATCTGGACATTACCTGGAGGAGCTGTATGTGACAACGCAAATGCCCGATTCAGTCCACCTGGACTTTAAGCAGACTCGACCCTGTCAGCTCTCTAGTACATGTACAAATGTCTGAGTGAGCCCACGTGAGAATACAGCAGTGTATAGTCCGTATACATATTCACACCGAGCTAGGGGGCATGTTGATGAAGTTCTGTCATGTGACTGGGGCTAAACCAGAAGAACACAAACATCAGATGGTGAAGGAAAACATTTATCATCAGTGAAGATGCCAACAAAAAATATCTAACACGAGATTCGGGAACTTCTGCCATTAAGTGCCAAGGTCAGAACCAGGGATGGGCATTTCCAGCTAAAATGCTTATTGATATTGGCTGGAAACAATTTGACAATTACTTGAAAATCACAGACCCCCCCCCAGTGCTGTCCATGCATCCATCTGTGGTCAAACTCCTTTTCAACACTTGTCAAACGACTGTGCAGCTCACATGCATTATCATCATACAGTGCATCTAGCTGGGCCTTAACTGTTTTTCTTGATGGCTGTAGTTTCTGTATGTCTGTGCTGTTTGCATTTGGTGATGTAGTTAATGATACACTGACCTTGTTATCACGTTATTTTCAGGTGACTGTAAAAGCAAGGAAAAATAGTGGCCCTTTGTTTTTGAAGACAAAACTGCAGTTACATGAAATATTCAGTTTTTTTTTTCTAAAATTTGACTATTTGAATATTTCAAAATCATCGCCCATCTCTAGCCAGAATGGCAAGAGACTTGGTTGTTTATGACCAAATTACAGACAGCTACTGTATGTAAATGTGTCATGTCCTACCTCTTACGTGCCCTACCCAGGTGCCACTCCCTAACATAAACTAAACGGAGTATTTCCAGTAGGAGAGGACGCTTATGACATGGGCTATCTGTATACTACATTTGTGAAAGGGCACTGCTGGACAAAGTCCAGACCAGATTTTGAGGACACAGTCTGAAAGTCTGAAAGCTGCATAAGACATGTTTCCTCAATTCCTCTCTCTTCGCATATTTTTCTTTGAATCTTTTCCTTGCATCTTAAGTGAGGGAAACGTGGACACAATCAAGGGAATTGGGATTTATGTCGATGACATCACCTTTGAGATCATCAGCGTTGTTTTCTCAAACCAAATTTGTGTTCTTTCATCAGATAATTATATATTTTGGACTATTTTACATAGAGCTCTTGCATAACTGCTTGTGAGTAAAGACAACATTATGTTTGCTGTTTTGTTACATGGAAAAATAGAATTTTGTAGATTAGCATGTTCCTCAAAATACAGTATTGGTACAAAATCTAAGCTAGTATTGTATTAGGTATATCAAAAATTCTCATAGTACCCAGCCATAATTCTTCCTGCTATGACAAGTAAACAAAACATCTACTAAAAGAAAGGTCTAGTGTGAGAATTGTCACTTTCCACTGGCCTTGAAATATTATAAAAAGGTTTTTGATTTTTGTTCATTCCAGAAAGGTTTTGATACATTTCTGAGGGATGAAGATGAATTTCAAAATTCCCCTATGTCTGTTATTTCAGTCGGCCTTGGCTTCACCTCCACACTGAACAAGGCTGCTGCTGGTGCTGACATCAGTTATTCACACTGGCTCATTGTGACTCACTTGTTATTCATTCAGCTCTAATTCTAGGCTTGTGCAAGATATTTAGTCTTGAATACATGTTTTAGCAGCATCTAGGCTATCTTTGTGGTAATAGCTAGTATTTGAGTAATGAGGTGCTCTGTTTCAGTGGGATACCTGGTAGTTAGGTGCTACTCACACAGATATCATATCAGCTCTGAGATACACCAGAGAAAGACTGAGAGTCCTGCCCCTGCACCTTCTGTGTCTGTGGGTGGGTGTGTCAGTGTGGGTGGTGACAGTCCTCACTGATTCACCAAACCGTTTCACCGGTTAGATATAAAGTAACCCTCATGTTAATGTAAGTAAAGGGGGAAACGGACTTGAGTGTGTTCTAATTCATTACCAGCACGTTATAGGTGCTTTATAAGCTGAAATAATGAGATAATGATGAAATATTAGGAAAAGTTGATTCATATTCATTACAATATTAATACCACTCTTAATAATAAAATAGTTGTCTTTTGTGTATGTGATTTTTCAGTGAGTTTCTGGTCACGCAGTGAGCTGGAGCTTGAAGGGGATAGAGAGCATGTCTTTTGTTTATGTGGTTTTTCAGTGAGTTTCTGGTCATGCAGTGGGCTGGAGCTTGAAGGGGATAGAGAGCATTACATCATTCTTATACCTAATATGTTGTAGCTAGTTCACCTTAAGTAAGAAACACAATAACATCGTTAAGTCCAAAAGTGCAAAAGAAACATGTGCCTATACACAATGTAAGAACTACAGGAGTGGAGCAAAAGTGAAATAAGGGTCATCATTTGATTTGTTTGATATTAGCCTGTACGATACATTAAAATACACCCAGATTGTCCCTGATCCTTCGCACATACAGATACGAAGTAGTAGGCAGTATATGGCCTCTCATGATTCTGTAGTTCTGAGGGTGTGTTGTGTTGAGTATCTCATTTACATACTCTGCTCTGACTGGACAGTTGTTTTCTGCTACATCTGCTTCCACCAGACACAACACCATCAGTGATTTGTTTCTATACTCTGTTATTCTGGCTCTTCTTTGGTCCCCACCATCTCCAGAGAAACATATCTGGGCCTATAGCTGCTGCATCTGCCACTTCTTCCAGCAGCCATTAGTTTATTTCTCTGATGTTTGGTGCTGGACAGGTAGCATACAGCAAGCTTGTCTGAGCTTGTTTGCAGAAATATCTATGTTTGTTAAAGCTAGATATTTGCACAAATACTGTTGCTTATCTTGTCCACAGTGAGTTGTAGTGGTCAGGACAGTGTGAATCTGTGTTGTGTTACAGAAAGACGCAGCAGTGTTTATGATAGCATCAGTGCACCCCCCCCACCCCACCCCATCTCCTGCAGCAGCTTCCCTAAGGAAGGTCAAAGGTTCTCACACACACACACACACACACACACACACACACACAAAGAAGACTTGGCTTGCGTCCTCCAGAGTGTTTCCTGGTAGCTCAGAGCGGTTGAAGGGAACAAAGCCCAGCCATTGAATGTTGTGTGCATCTTGTGAACTCACAAGACTGTGTGGTGGGGCAGAGTGAGCATACACAGCCTACCCTTTGGCAAATGCTTTTATAATTAGGTCTTGCTCTGAAAAGGTTTTGAAGGGATGATGTCTGTGTTCCTGGACTGAGGCTGTTAAATAAGAGACAGTGGTGCCAGTATTCTGTGTCATGTCTTTAATTTCACACCAAACGTGTATGTATAAGATAGAGCAAATGTGAC